CTCATGATCCTGCTTGGCACTGTGAGTTGATTTGTAGCTTCGGTATTTACTTATGTTATTTCTACCTCGTTTCTACAGTTTTCATCTTAGGTAGAGGGGCGAGAGGCCGGTGTCGTATCAGCTCTCCTTTGGTGACGCGGGGGACTCCAGACCTAATGCACTGTAGCTGGGACACCACCCCTTTTCCTCCCAGGAAGGGCAAGCGCCCCTGGAAGCTCATTTTGAGCACTCTAAACATGCTTCCATTACCTTTCAATGTCAAGCCCATCTCATTTCTTCCTTGTCTTTGAAAGAGAAATGATCTAGATTGAAGAATTACATGGTTTTCCCTCAAAACTTGGCAAGGAGATACTAAATAAATATGATATTTTAAAGACCGATTTGAAATGATATTGATTCTTAACTAAGTTTTATTCCAGTATCCCTGTTTTTCACTTGTAGTGACATGTGTCCTCTGCCATGTTTTTTCTTTCTAATGTTATCACTGTCATTTTACATTGATCGAATTTCGGAGGTGAAACAGTGACTGCAGATCTGCTGTGGCAAGTCATCTGATGTTTAGATGCATAAACCCGGATACCATAGACATACTGTTTTAGAAGTTTGTTTGATCCTAATACACAGTGAAATGGTTTAGTATCTTAGCTTCAAGCGCATTTAATAAATAGCTGTTTCTCTTTTACAGCCACAGATATTGCAAATCCAATACTGTCCTTCTTAGATATTAAACGGATTTTATTTAAAAAAATTACCAATAAAGGAGATGAGTTGAAAAAAGCCTTTCAGCTGCTTGATATCGGTCACAACATGACAGTGTCCAAGAGTGAGCTGAGAAGAATTATCACCACCTTCCTGCTGCCTCTCACCAGAGAACAGTTTCAAGATGTGCTCGCCCAGGTACAGTCTGTATAATGACCTAGAATAACACAACTGTGGAGAAGAGCAGGTGACCCTGACTTTCCCCCATTATCCCAAGTGAGCAGTTCAAGTTTTATTTTTCACAATCCACTTAATTAAATTCTGGCCGATTTGGCACGATCAGCAGGCACTCGGCTCATATTTTGCATGTAGCACTGTTCCAGTCATTTTCTTTTCGTTTTTTATAAAGCTTCCAATGTATAAAGTATTTGGTCAGCTTATATTTTGGAACTTAGTACAGATGCTCCTTGACTTATGTTGGGGTTACATCCCAATAAACCCATCTTAAGTTGAAAACATCCAGAGTCCAAAACACATTCAAGACCCCTCACCGACTTTGCATCGTGGCTCAGCCCGGCCCACCTTGAACGTGCTCAGGACACGTGCATCTGCCTGTGGTTGGGCAGAACCTCCCACACTGCGAATGTGCTCTAGAGCTTCGGGGTTCGGCCTCGTGACTGTGCAACCTGCTAGGCACTGTGATGGCTGCCCCTCGCCCAGCATCACTGGGGAATGTCGCTAGCCCGGGAACAAGGTCAGAATTCAAAGTATGGATTCCACTGGATGCACACTGCTTTTGCATCTTTGTACAGTTGAAAAGCCATAAGTGGAACCATCACAAGTCAGGGGCTGTCTGTTTTTATAGGCGTTTGCTCTTGCATCAAGTGGTTGTTGAGCATCTGCTGTATGCTTGACCCGGGGAAGAGTAATAAGCTGCCGGCGCCCTTGAGGGGACCCCAGTTCAGCGACGGGTCTCTGGAAGCATTAAGTACTAGGACAAGGCCTCTTACAGGGTAGCATAGGAGTTAGAGGACGGAGCGCTGGCTAAAAATGCGGTGTGGCAGTCCAGGAAGGCTTTTGGGAGGAAGGGGTATTTTGCTCTAGGGAATACACTCCTCCGTATAAATATATACACTTATATCTACATTTATTTCTATATCAATTTTTCCGCATACTGAGAACTATGACTTCACATCAATACTGCCAATTCTAATCCAGCACCTCGGGGTTCATTCTGGTGTTCTCGCTTTCCACACTTGTAACTACCACAGTGAGAAACCTGGCTTCTTTCTTAGTACGTTTCCTTATTGGATCAGTCTCCCTGGCATGTGACTCATCCTGTCTTCAGCGCTCCGCCTCCCCACTCTGGAATACCACGGCTCCCCCAACACTGCAGACACCATTATTCTCTGTCCCGTCTAATGATTTAGGACTGAATTGTTAGGGGACAGACAGGGAAGAAGGGAAAGGGGAGGAAAGATGAAGAGCTTTTCTCTTCTTCTTTTTAAAAAAATGTTTCTACTTCCAGAACTTCACAAACAGTACATACTGATTCATGCGTCACTCTTTATTGTATCTATATTTGAAATAAAAGCTTTATTAGGATATAATTTCTATATCATGAAATTCACCATTTAAAAATATATGTTAGTGGTTTTTAATATATTCACAAAATAATGCCACCATCAGCGCTATCTAATTCCAGAACATTTTCATCACCCCGAAAAGAAATGGCGTATTCGTTCGCAGTCACTCATTCCCCCTCCCCCTCCCCCCCGGCACCATTAATCTACCTGCCGTCACAATAGAGTTGCCTATTCTGGACATCTCACATAAATGGAATAACACGATATATGATATTTTGTGTCTGGCTTCCTTCATTTAGCATAATGTTTTCAAGGTTCAGTTACATCGTAGCATGACTCAGTAATTCATTCTTTTTTATGGCTGAATAATACTCCATCGTATGGCTAGGCCACCTTTGATGGACTTTGGCTTTTGTGAACAATGCTGCTATGAACATTCACGTACCAATTTTTGTGCGGACATGTTTTCCTTTCTCTTGGGTACATACCTAAGAGTGGAATCGCTGTGTCATATGGTAACTGTTCTTTTGCTTTTAAAGAACATTTATCTGTGCAAACAGTGTATCCGTTTTCTCATAGGCTTGGTTTAACTCATACTTTGTACCAAATGGAGAGTTAAATATTATTTCCTGCTAATGTCTCCCTATATTCATGATCTAATGTTAATTTAAAAATTTGACAATCTTCCCAAGCTAATCAGCTATGCAGGAAGAGGAAAAGTACAGAAAATGCGAAATGTGTATCTGTTTTTAAAAGCTACATCTGTTTTTAAGAGAAGTCACTGGGAACTGTAGAACTTCAAAGATTTTTTTAAAAAGGGTCTTCGTGGTATATCTTAAACGATAGGCATGCTTTTCTAGGACCTTGAGCTCCTGTGACCCATGCGTATGTAAATCAAGGAGGCTGGAGTGTGGTATGGCGAACAGGAGGCCAAGTTCGTGGGAATGAAGGGCAGGGCTTCTCTTCCTATTCCCTGGAGTTCACAGTGTGTGTGACTTTTTCTAGATCTTTTAATGACTAATCCATGTGGTGATACGAACTCTCTTTTCTAACCGTTAATGTAAGCCTAACTGCAAATGTATATTACTGGTAAATTATTTCATGGGAATTTCCCCCATTTTAGAAAAGAATTATAGTGAATTTACTTTAGCTTATATTTATTTCAAGAACAATGTCAAGCATGTTTGTGTGTCAGGGTGTTTCGATGATTGATCAAGGCCTGTACCTCAGTTTCCATTAATAGTAATGAAATTTTTAAAAAAATATATGGCCTCTGAATATTAATATAAACAGTTTAAAAGGAGTCGAATTGGTAAATAGATTCCAGAGAGGGAAAACAAATTCTGTGTGTTCCCAAATTGCACCATTTATGTAAAGAAGTCATTGAAGATAATTATCAGCATGATTGACAGTGATTTACAAACTACCCTCGTCCAGTCCCAGTCTAAGAATTTGCTTTCAGCAACTCATCTGTGGGCAGTTTTGATTCTTAAACTTTTTTTTTTTTTTGCTGGAATCACAGATTGAAATTGAAAAGGCAAGTTCTTAGACAGGACCCGTCCTTTTGGACTAGCATCTTTGGTTGTCTAAGGGACTTAACTTTGGGGACCAGTCAATGCAAAATTGCCGTATTAGAATTTGCATTAGACCATAAATAATAATATGAAATGTAACAAAAGCTTCTTTTTTTTTTCTTTCTTTCTTTTCTTTCCTTCCTTCCTTCCTTCCTTCCTTCCTTCCTTCCTTCCTTCCTTCCTTCCTTCCTTCCTTCACTCCTGCTTTGAAGCCTTAAGGATCATGTCATTTCCCTTAACGCAGCCTGTTTACTGGACTTTTTTTTCTTTTTCTTCCTTCCTTCCTTCCTTCCTTCCTTCCTTCCTTCCTTTCTTCTTTCCTTCTCTTTTTTTTACAGGCAGGGTGGTTAGTGTGATGAGATGAACTTGGGCTCTGGAGTCAGAGATGACTGGTACTTACTAGCAGTGCTACACAGGGAGGTCACACCTCTGTGAAATGCAGAAAATTTGAGCCCCTCACAAGGTGGTTTTGGGGGCTAGATAATTAACTCACGTAAAACACAAGAGTGGTGCCTGTGCCCATCCATAGACTATGAGCTCTACAAATGTTTTGTTCCTGCTCATTTACTCTGGTCACTGCCATGACCAAGAGGGCATCCAGTCTTGGAATTACCCATCCTGTAAGATTAGGGAGACTTTGCAGTGTCTACTCAAAATTATGTCTCCTAAACATTCCCCGTCAGAAAGAGAAGTCATGGGTGGCCTTTCCAGGGAGAATCGTCACACTCTTCTTCTGGTTCCTTTTCCTACTTACATACGTTTTAAATAGTAAAGAGAAATTTGTCCTTTGGGGAAGACTGACATGGCCGTGCTGGGCTCTGAGGCTGGAATTTGAAAGGCTAAGTAAACGTCAGACTCAACTGTGTGGACTTGGGAGCTGTTCAGAACATGTGGGAAATTGTACTTTGTGTATCTGTGTAAAGCTTAATAAAATATGTTTATGTTGATTATATATTTATCTTAACTTTAGTTTCATAATCTGTTTTGGAGGGAAATAATTATTTTCACTTACAAAAAATTTTGACTTTTACTTAAAAGTAATTTCAAACCTCCTGAAAATTTGTGAGAAAAAATAAGAATAGTATAAATAGTTACCTGTAAGGTATAGATAATACCTAGGAACCCTTTACCCAGATTTGCCAGTTATGGATATTTAACCTCATCTGCTTCTCCTGTGATCTGTGTGTGTGTGTGTGTGTGTGTGTGGGCGCGCACGCGTGCGCGCACACATGCAAACAATACTATACACGATATACATGATGTATACATAATATTGTTTTCTGAACCGTTTGAGAGGAAGTTGGTTATATTATGGTTCTTTACTTCTAAACACTTGTATGTATTTCCTAAGAATCAGAACTATTCTTTTATATAATCACAGCACAGTTATCAACTTCATTAAATTAAGTGTTGAGAAAATAATTTTATTTCATCTACAGACTGTATTGACTCGCTTGACCCAATAACGTCCTTTATAGGATTTTAAATTTAGAAATAACTTTTTCTGCCTTAAAAGTATATGAATGTAGAGAAGTTTACATGACACTGAGAGGTTAAAGCTCTGCTGGGCCTCAGCGTCTTAGGAGCTATACCTTTATATTATATATTTATACATATGTAATATATGTTAACACATACAATACATATTAACATACATATGTAAAATATATATTAGAATATATTTCTATAAATTTAACTTTATATTTTAGATACATCAGATTTTAGATAATTTTGTAGACAACTTGTTGACTTTTAATTGAGCACAGACCGGCACTCATGCTCTTTGACCTTGGTTTACTGAGGCTGCATGTCAGCTCAGACACCTGCATTAAGTAGCAGTGTTTACCAGATGCCCATCGCACTGGTGGTACCCTGTCTTACATCATGAAACCTACTGTGCTGTCCACTGCCTTGATCTGAATTCTCTAACAGGCTGCCATTCTTCTTGTTTGACTGTAGATCCCCCTCACCAGCTCTGGTGCCGTTCCGTACCTTGAATTCCTGTCCAGGTTTGGCGGAATTGACCCAAATATAAACGTTATAAAGAGGTAAGTGTTTTCTTTTTTTGATCATAGGAGAATATGAAATTGGCAATGATGAGAGATAAGACATAAGGTCATTGGCGCTAATCACGTCAGCAGATATAAATGGAAGATGTGTTGGTGGAGCATCCCCTGTGGAACTTAATAGCATTAATCCTCAGTTGAAGTTTATTTAGAGAAGATTCCAACATCTATATAGCATATACTTAAGAAGGGAAACGATACTGTATTAAAAATGGAAACGGCAAATGAAAGTCAGATTAACATTTTATGTGCAATGTATTTCAGATTTAGAAATAGTTAATTTTAACTTTGAAGTAAAAGTATTAAGATGCCAAATTTGTTCATTTTTATACATTTTAAATGTCTTTCATTGGAAAGTGAACATAGTTTGGTAGCTGGAAATTAAACATTTAAAAAAAGGTCTTCGTATGAGCTCTTTTATAAAAGTTTCATAGCTTTAGCATAAGCGTGAGGCTCATTTGCTTTCTATGCAAAATGAGAGTGTTAAAGGATGAACTTTGATTCTCTCAGCTGTAAAGTTTTTTCATTCTAGTTTATGATTTATAAAATTTTGTTCTAATAAAAAATTATTCAGATTACCTATTTCAAATGACTAAACCTCATTTTTTCAGGAATTGTGGAAACAATTATAAGAATTAAATTTGGTCCCAAAACATTAGCACATTTGAGTATTAAAGCTTTCATGATTGAATCCATCACGGATGCAGCTTAGGTGTGAGAATTAGTGTGGCGGGAGGAGGGGGAACGGGAGCTGCTGTCCAATGGGTATAGAATCTCAGTTTTGTAAGGTGAGAAAATTCTAGAGATCCGTTGCACAACAATGTGAATGTTGTACAACATTTAATGTACTGAACTGTACATTAAAACAAAATGGCCGAGACGGTAAATTTTATGTTATTTATTTATTTTTTATTTTTTTTACCACAGTTAAAAAAAATTAGTGGAACAGTTCCAACAAGACTGACAAAGTCTTATCCCCTCCATGATCTGGGACTTTGCCATGCTCTGTTTAGTTGATGCTTAGTAAATGGTGGACTAACATATGTCTGGGCTCATTCAAAAGAGTGGCTCGTTCTCTAGACTGCACACTCGTGTCTTAACCTAAAACATCACCGTATGCAGGGTAAGGTTTTTGGGCGAGCAGTAACCTCATTTGAATATTCTTTGTTGAAAAAGCTAAACAACTAGAAAAACTGAAAGCTGGAGAGTTCTGTGTGTGTGTGTGTTTTATTGTGAAACATTAGTCTAATAATTTGAGATGAAAAGGATCATAAATTACTTCCTGAAACATAAAAAGTTAAATTTTTATACTAAGTTTGAAAGAGTTTTAAATTTGAAGCTAAATTCTCTTTATTGTTGAAGATGATGCATTATAGTGAATGGAGACTTCTCTTTCTAGTAGCATGGTAGAGTTTATCTATAAATAGTACTTCTACTGAAAACAACTAAAATGCTGGTTAAAAGATAAAATATTTTAATATGTTACTGAGCTGGTAAGAAAGTAACTAATCCCCAGAGGCTAAAAATGAGGTGAACATTGGAATCCAGAAAAGTGAGCATTCTAAAAAGCCAGCTATTGCCTTGAGGGCATTGACCAAATCCTAGTGAATTTGTGTGTCAGTTTTGTTGGCTGTTTGGAGTGAAGAGGACAAGAAACAAAGCCTAGAGGGTCTGCCCAAGGTGGAGAAACCTAATAGAAGATCAATACATATAAAGTCGGGACAGCTCTGCCCCACAGTAAGGATAAATTACAAACATAGACCTGCATCACAGAAGGCACAATGAGGAAACCTACCTGTTTTAACAATGGCATTGGGTGAATAGACTTGATTTTCATGTAAGTCTGTGCCTGAAATAATGCTACTTCTGTGGCTTGAAGAGTCTCAGGCTAGGAATTTACTTAAAACTGGTCTTGGACTGGGTATGCCCTTCTGTAAGGAATACATCTTCAACCTAGCCCTTAAAGAATGTCCACAGATAAAGTACCAAGTAACAGTAGACCACAAAAAAAATCTTGAAAACATATGAAGAGACAAACAATGAGGCCTGCAAACCAATAGAAACAATATCCAGGAGAATATTGGAACTATCAGGTACAGAATCTAAAAGTAGTATTTTAATATGCTTGAAGAAAGGAAAGAAAGGATTCAACATATGAATACAAAACTAGAGGCAATAATCATAAAGATTTGAAGAGCAAAAAACAAAATTTCTGGTACTGAAAGATATAATAATTGTCATTGGATAGGTGAAAATAGTGGATTAAACACAGCTGAAAAGAGGATTAGTGGAATGGAACATAAATCTGACGAAAGTATCCAGAGTGCAGCACAGAAAAACAGAGAGATACAAAATATAGAAGACAGGAATAAGACATGGAAGATGGGAAGAAAAGGCCTAACATACTTCTCATTGGATTTCCAGATGTATAAGAGAAAGAGCAGGGCAGAGACAATATTCGAAAAGATAATGACTGAGAATCTCAAGCCAGATAATAAAAAGAAATGCATATCTGGACGTATCACAGTGAAACTACAGGACATCAAAATTAAAGAGAAAATCAAAGACAGTGAGAAGGAGAACCCAATTGACGTTGATGAGTGACAATTAGACCGACACTGAAGCCCGAACAGTGACAGTGAAAGGTATAAGATCGTGGAAATATCTCTTCAGTATGCTGAAATACAACATTTGCCATCTTACAGTTCTATGCTATATTTGTAAGAATAATAATAAGAGCTTTTCCTGTAGGAATCCCTCTCCTTGCCATAGTATATGCTCATCCATTGATAACAGAGTATTTGGCAAAGGGAGAAACAGCTGGCGTCGTCGTTTGTGGTGTTCAAGTTTACCTTTCAACTAGATTTTGTATACTTTCTTCATACTGTCTTGGATAAGAATAATAGGCAGCCTTTGTACTCATTGAATTGTCAGGTCTTTAGACTTGGGCTAAATCATTGACTGAGTTGCAGCTTGAGTTCCCTGGATTCGTGGTGGCGGGACTTATTATTCTGGTTATAGCACTTCCCGTCTGGAAATGTGGTTTGAGAGGTCACATTTTCTATCAGCCAAAACTTGCTGCCTTTGACAACATAGAGTGAACACAACACAGAAATGTTGTACCACCTGTTCTGCCCTGGACATCTTAGCTTTACTAGAACTGTCTTAAAAGTCATCATACGAGGAAGTTCTTGAACACCCTACAGTGGTCGATTAAGTCGAGAGCAACATGAAGTTAAAAAGGACATTTTGCTTCTAAAGACATTGAAAACCTGGAATGATATCCAAAAATCTGTGCCTCTGAGTATATGAAAGCTGGTAAGGATAAATGTGGGACTATTTTTGTATCTAGCATAGCAGACTTCACATCATCTATAGTAATGGTAGTATCATCATCAACCCTTCAAACATCCAAGGAATTATTCTATTTAAAATTAGTAAATTGAACGTTTTTGCTTCTGATGGACACATAGGACATTTCTGCATATAGACTGAGTATCTTCTGCATATTAAATAATCCATATGGCACTTGGCTCCAAGCTACCTCCCTGAAAAATAACTACAACCTTCCATATATAAAACAATTAAAACATTTTAGTCGAAGTTTTTAAAAGCTTTTTGAGCATCACACAAGATGACTCACCACAGAGTTGTGAAGAACTTACTGAGGAGCCTGAGAATTATATCGAAGGTAAATTCATTCACAAAGACCATGTATTGGCCTTTGGGCTTTGGTTAACAGAGCAGATGTGAAGCAGGTTCTAGCAGGTAGACTCTGGTAAAGAAGAAAGGAAGAAAGAAGGCTTTTGAACAAGAAA